AGGTGGTTTTTAAACATAAAGCAAAGAAAGCCAGCCTGCAAACCACAATCCCAGAGAATTTAGACAACAATGCAGATACTAAGAAAGACTTACATAGATATAATCTACATGGGAAGTAGAAAGTAGAAAAAGACAATCTCCTGAGTAAATTGGGAACATGGGGACTTTGGGGTAGGGTTGAAGTGGGTAGGGGAGAGGCAGGGAGGGGAGCAGAGAAAAATGTAGAGCTCAATAAATATCAGTTTAAAAAAAAGGAATATTCCATTGTAGGGTCTGAGGAAATATCGAAGGAGACTCCTGTCTCAAATAGTATGTAAAAGTAAAGAGCATTTATTAATATTTCTGCATGCATGTGGGGTCATTCTCCTGTACAAAATGGCACTGACCCCAGAGGAGTGTGTAGGCTCCTTTTAAACACAACTAAGAGAGTTTCAGGGACAGCTATGTCATCTCATGCATAATTGGCTAAACAAGCAGCAGTTCGCTAGTATCCTTTTTATTGGCTGAACTTTAGTCTTATCGTCTTTGGATATACTTGCACAAGCTTGGGCAAGTTTGGACATGACTCAGAAGGGGCTGCTGGATTTGTCCTTGAGATATTGTGAGGCTGGCTCAGGCCTCAACTCTGAATGCAGGGGCATTATAGATAAACGGCCCTTTGTGGGAGGGACACCTGTTTTGTCTTTCTCAGAGAACTGAAACCTAAACTCACTTGTGGGAATGGGAGACTTTAACCCCTTCACCATGAAGATCTCAGACCTAAAACAGGAGTGGGATGAAGCTGTGTCATAGAAATGGACACTCTAATGTAGTCTGACTATCTCCCAACTTGTAGGACCTGTCACTACTGGGGGCGGAAGAGGTCAGGGCAGCATCATAGGGAACCACATGGGGCATGTTTGTTGTGGGAAAGAAAGGACATCCAGAGCAAGGGGAGGATGCTGTTGGGCACTTTTGTGCTAGGCTTTGCTGTACTGTAATGATGAGTATCAATTGCTGCTTACCATTGAACACCTTATTCAACAGGCATGCTTGCTGTGGCTAACACGATTGAGTCAACTCGTAGACACATTTTATATGTTATTTCACATTTTGTGTGTGTGTGTGTGTGTGTGTGTGTGTGTGTACATTTGTGTGTGTGTACATGTCTTTGTGCAGGCCACAGGTAAGGTCAAGTGTCTTCCTTAATTGCCTTTTGCCTTAGTTTTTGAGAAGCTGGAGCTCACTGATTGGGGTAGAATGGCTGACCAACTGTCCCAGAGACCCTCCTGTCACTGCCTTCTCACTGCAGGGGTTATAGGTGCACCCCTGTATTCTGGCTGGCCTGAACACCATACATAGACCATGTTAGCTTTGACTCCCAGAGGTCCACCTGCATCTGCCTTCTAAGTGCTGGAATTAAAGGCGTACACCACATGTCTAGCTGCACCTCTGGCTTTGTAATGTGGATGCTGAAGATCTGAACTTGGGCCCTCCTCTTGCTCATCAAGCACTTTGTCCTCTCTACCTATGGAAGATATGACGTCTTGGCATTGCCAGTAAAAACCGAGGCCTGTTAGAAACTGCTAAAAGCTGTTGTTAGTCAGCTGCAAACACAACCCTCAGACAGCTCACTTTGGTACCCCTTCCCGGCTCTCTTCTTGCTGGCTTCAGTGCTCTGAGGAGTGGAAGCCTGGCATGCCTCTGGAACTTACCCCACATTTCAAAGCAGATTGGTATAGATTTCCAAATTAAATTATGGCCACCGCTTGCATTAAACGGTAGGCGAACTGCCCTTTAAATAGACCACATTAATTCTGAAGTGGAACCCTGCTGGGATAATCGTTATCATCAGCGCATCATTGACAGGCTTGAAAAGGATCCTCATGGTGAGCTAAACACTCTTCACTGTAAAGTGCTACTGGTGTTCAAGGTCAGAGGGAGAGTTACTTGGTGGCTGAGGGTAGTGTTCTCCCCAGAATCCCCTGTTCTGGTGTTTGAATGTAACTTTCCCTGCGCATAAACAAATGTCTTTTCACAGCCATAGGGAACTGACAACAGGCCAAAAAGTGATTGCACCTAAGTCTAGTTTGATGAACCACAGTTTATTGAGGTTACTTATAGAATCATGGCTGACTCAGGGGAATGTGTCGTAGAAAAGTCACCCTCGACAAAGCTGCACGTCCCGTGCTTCTGTCCAGATTGCGGCAGCTCCATTAAAGAGTCTTCCTCCTCATTAGGTGTTTGCTGTTTTTTTTTTTTTTTTTTTTTCTTTTTGGTTTTTCGAGACAGGGTTTCTCTGTGGTTTTGGAGCCTGTCCTGGAACTAGCTCTTGTAGACCAGGCTGTTCTCGAACTCACAGAGATCCGCCTGCCTCTGCCTCCCGAGTGCTGGGATTAAAGGCGTGCGCCACCACCGCCCGGCAGGTGTTTGCTGTTTTTATGACTTTAGATGGGGCCCTGTGAATCCAGAAACTTTCAGGACTTTCCTAAGCTTTGTCTTCAGAGCTCCCTCCCTCCTGGAGGCCCAGCAGGGGCCCAGCAGGGGCCCAGCAGGGGCACAGCCTCTTCTGGGCAGGTGTTTGATGAGTTTGCTACATGAGGACTGAGGGTGAACTGCATTTTCTCCTGGGAAGTTTGTTCTGAAGAATGAGCCAGGGAGATGGCTCATCTGTAAAGGCTCTGGTCACCTAGCCTGACAACCAGAGTTCAGAATTCTTACATCTATACATTTAGGTGCTACTAACCCAGAAAGGGAGAGAGAGGTTACACAGTACCTCTTCGCCAGCCATGGGTGTTGGTTATCTTGCTTCAGGCTGCCATTGTTGGTCGGTTGGCCTGGTCTTGTGCTCAACACTCTACCTGCCCTTTTCTCCAGTGAGTCCATAGTTCCAGACCCACCTATTCTGTGCTCATGGGAGAGGAATCTGAGGTTCAGCATGGCTCTGTGGCCATGTGACTGAATGATCTTGTCACTCATTTGTCCTGTGTGTTGGACTAAATGCCCCTCAAAGATGAAACTCACTAGGATGATACAGTTAACCTAGGTCAGTTGAGCTGAAGAGTTAGAGTGAACTTCTTAATCTGGAAGGAAACCTCAGTGACTTTAATGTTCTCAGAGGGGCCTGTGAACCTGTTTGGCTCTGCTCCACTTAGAAATAAATCAAGCAGTTGTAAACATGCTCGTTTTGAAGGCAACAGAAGCAAATATGATTTGAGTGGCTTGTGTTAGGAACCACATTCCAGCTCATGTATGCTGCTTTTTTTTGGGGTATTGTTTGGTTTTTCAAGACAGGATTTCTCTGTAGCTTTGGAGCCTGTCCTGGAACTCGCTCTGTAGATCAGGCTGGTCTCGAGCTCAAGAGATCCGCCTTCCCCTGCCTCCCGAGTGCTGGGATTAAAGGCATGCACCATCCCCACCCCTCCAGGGTTGAACTGGACAAGGTGAAACTTGTCCAGGCCTTGCTTTGAATAAAATGGCCTTGGTTTGAGTGAGGTCACTTATGAAATTTGTGACAATGACTGGTGTACAGTTAATACTCAATAGCTAACAGCTGTCATTGTAGTTCTGACATTAGCATGAGAAAGTGTCAATGAGTCAATATTGTAAAGAAAATTGGTCACTAAAATTTCAACTCCCAAATAATTTGTAATGTGGATAAGAAAGGTAGCCTTGAAGAGATGCCAGTAAGAATGGCTATCTGTGGTTCAACAAGCCTTATTTAGCCTTCCCGTAACCTTAAATTTGTTCCTGTCATTATACCAAATAGTTGACCATTTGGGAAGCTCTCCTGAGGATATAGAAATGAGGGTGATTATTCATGATCAAGGGTGTGTGTGTGTGTGTGTGTGTGTGTGAGGGGAAACAGCAATGTAGTGAATTCTTTGTAATCAAGATAGATCTAAATTATATCCTACCAGGAAGCTGCCAAAAATCACGTTCAGTATTCAGAACACTGGGTGAATACGTAACAACACAAAATTGTTCTGAGGCCCTTCGAATCTTGAAAGTGTTCATGATTTAGAAAAAGCTGAATCAAACCAGGCTGTGGTGGCACACACCTTTTATCTTAGCACTTGGGAGGCAGAGGCAGACAGATCTCTATGAGTTCGAGACCATCCTGGTCTACAGAGCTAATACCAGGACAGCCAGGGCTGTTACACAGAGAAACCCTGTCTTGATAAACCAAAAACCAATCAAACACACAAAAGACAAAGGGGGGGGGGAGAAAAAACTGAATCAAGATATAGAATTATATGTATATACTACATCATACACTATACAATGTACTTCTTTGTTGTTGTTGTTGAAATAGGATCTTGCTCTGTTGCCCAGGCTAGCTTTGAACTCCTTGGCTCAAACCACACTCTTTGCCTCAGCTTCTTGATTAGCCAGGACTGCAGATGCATGATAGCATATCCGGCTTACAGAGACTTATTCTCATAGTCCTGGAGCTGCAAGTCTGAGGTCAGTTTCATTGGCCTGACAGGTCAAGATGACAGTGGTAGGCTGGTTCTGCTGACACTGCAGGGTCGCCACCATTCTCACCTCTCCTAGCTTCTGCTGCTGCTGGCTGCCAGCATTCTAATCTTTGCTTCCCTAGCCACATGGCCTTTTCCCTGTGGGTCAGTTTCTCTGTCTTCTTATGATGACACTTGTTAATATGTTGTGTCCGTGGGAATTGCCATAGTCAGAGTTGCCAACACTCCTTTGCTGCTTCCGGCTACATTCACAGGTTTCAGAGACTAGCGTGTTTGGGGACATCATTTAGCTGCCACAAATGGTGATATTTGTATAGGTGCAATAAAAAAGACTGGAATGAAGGTTTGAAAATGTTATCTAGGAATGGTGGTCTTGGGGTGGGAGGTTCTGAGACCTGTTTACTTTTGATTATTGCTTTGTTCTTCTTCATCTGTCTAAGGAAGTAACGAATGCCATTTATACTCCATAAAGTTGCCTATGGACTGTTGCTCTGAAAATGACAGCGTGTAAGCCATGACGTGCTTCTGCCCTCTCCCCAGAGCCTGTGTTCTGGTTCTACGTGAAGGAGGTCCTCAACAAGCACGAACTGCAACGCTTCTACTCCCTGCACCACATCACTGCGGATGTGGGCCGAGGCCGGGCCTGGCTGCGCTGTGCCCTCAACGAGCACTCCCTGGAGCGCTACCTGCACATGCTCCTGGCTGACCGCACCAGGCTCAGGTACCCAGCAGGACAGGCTTTTTTTCCTAGTCTTCTACCGGGGGAGAAGGGGAGCTTCCCACTGCAGCCCTGCTAGCCATTCCCTTGGTGGGAGAACCAGTGCCAGTGCTTGGAAGGAGCTCTGTGTGGCACACACAACCAGCGCTCCGTCAGTGCTCACTGTGATCAGGGCCTAGCTATTGTCCTCCCTCCACCGAGTTTTAATTTGGGATTCTTTAGTCAATCCCAAACTGACCGAAGAGACGGAAACTGTATTTGTTCTTTTGTTTATTTTGAGACAAGGTCTCACATGTAGTCTAGGCTGGCCTGGATTTTACTGTGTAACCGAGGCTGGCTTGTTTCTCTACTGCTGGGATTACAGACCTGCATGACTAGGCCTGCTCAGAATATGGGCCATTAAGGAAGAAAGTGTTTTGTGCTTATTAAAAGCTTCATTTTTCATGTGTTATTTTTTTTTTTGAGTATAAAGTTTACTCAGGTCAGAATGTCAGACTGTATTGTAGTAAGTTGCTACTTTTATTTCTTCATGTTCTCTTCTGATGAGTAGGTTTCTGCCTCCAGAGATGCTTCCTCTCCTGACTCATTGGCGGGGAGGGTCATATAGCCACACCTATAATCCAGCAGCCCCTCAGCAGTGGAGGAGATCACTAGACCGAGCTGAAGATGTTCTAGCCAGCTAGCTCCTTACAATATCGGAAACTGGTGCAGAAGCCACTGGCTTAAAAACTAAGCCGCTCATAATATTCATAGAGATAATCCTAGCTTGGTGGATTCTCTTGTCATGGTGTCTTGCTCTGGCAGTCATTTTCCCTGTAAGGGTAGAAGACCAGACACAGTTTATGTCACCTGATGCCCCGAGTGGCCTTGGTCAGTCCTCTCTGCCACCTTGAGTCACTTCCATGTTGGCATGACCTAGAGGTGACACTGAGATTTCCTTAATGCAGTAAGCTGGCTTCTGATCAGCACTTGACAGTTCTTTGATTCCAGTTTTCCCACCTGTTTGTAGGTTTGGGTCTCCCTTTTGCATCTGCAGTCATGTCCCCCCAACCATCCCTTCTCTCTGCTTTACTTTTTCTTTCCTGGAAATCAAACTCAGTACTGGTGTGTGTTAGACAATGCTCCCCTGTACCCTGTAATGTTTCTTCTATTGGTAATTCTACCAGTGATTCTGTGGGTATTCTTAAAAATGGTCTAGGGTAAGCCGAGTGGTGGTGGCGCACGCCTTTAATCCCAGCAGGAGGCAGAGGCAGGCGGATCTCTGTGAGTTCGAGGCCAGCCTGGTCTACAAGAGCTAGTTCCAGGACAGGCTCCAAAAGCTACAGAGAAACCATGTCTTGAAAAACAAACCAAAAAGAAACAAAACAAAATGCTCTAGGATCATTAAAATGGCTTTCAGTGGGTAAAAGCTCTTGCTAAGCACACAGGCATGGACCCCTGAGTTCAGCCCCCAGATTCCATGAATCCTATGCTGAAAGGAGAGAGAACTGACTCCTGAAAATTGTTTATGGACCTCTACCTGTGTGCCTGAATTCACACACGTCCTGCATACACAATAAAACAAAGAAGAAAAAGATAATTAAAACAAGAGTAACCATAATCCATATAGGAAGAGTTAGCACAGTGGTGCATGTCCCAGTGATAAAGAGGCAGAGGCAGGCAGTCCCTGGGGAGTCACTGGCCAGCCATTCTAGCCCCCTTGGTGATCTCCAGGACAGTGAGAGACCCTGTCTCCAAAAAGGTGAATGGATCCTGAGGAATTATACTGGAGGATGTTCTCCATATACAAGCACATTCATGGGCACACACACTCACACTTAAAGTTCATCTACATGTATGAAAACTAGTTCAGATGTTCTCCATATACAAGCACATTCATGGGCACACACACTCACACTCAAGGTTCATCTACATGTATGAAAGCTAGTTCAGATTTTCAAATGATTCCAATTTGTGGTGGAATTGGGTACAGTCAAAATGCCAGCTTGACAAGGTGGTTTGTCATCGTCCCATTGCCCCCCCCTTGTAGTCGGTCACATCAGCAGCTGGTTTTTCACATCTCTTGCTGAACTGCAGGCCACTCAGTACTGAATTGATGTTATTGAAACTGCACTTAGAATTCTGTCACCTGGCACTGTTGACTCTGGTGGTTTATTGCTTAAGAGTCATATAGAGTGCTTGGAAATTGGACTTGGGAGACCTGCTTTTAGGCCCCGCTGTATCATTGATTGGCTAGATTGCCTTGTCTACCCGCAGCCTCCACTGAGCCTCCCCAGCTGCTACTGAAATCCACGGGGACCTTTTACCCTCCCAGCCCTTTCCTTGGCTAACTTGGAGTTTGGGTTTGTAGCCTAGCAATTTTTATAAGTGGATGCCCTGCTTGATGGAGCCCTGTAGCTCTGTAATTGCTTCTGAGATCATCTCTTCTTGTATTAGCCAATCAGGTAAACCCTGTTAGTGAGCCTGGACTTCCTTTCTCCGGGTTACATTGTTGAGTGGAGTCCATTCCTCTGTCCTCTTCAGCTCTGCTTCTTTATAAATATGTTTGCATATGTCTATTTCAGTCCTCTAAAGCTCACGGTCTCAGGGGACCAAGAAGGAAGTTGTAGGATCTGTGCATTCAAACCTTTGTTTCTAGTGAGAAGCTTCAGAGTGGAGAGGAACAAAATTCCCTCTGGGTGACCAGCCAGGCCTGGTGTTTTCTGAGCCATCAATGGCATCATTAGCCAGTGTGTGAATGCCAAGAACTGCCTTTCTCTAAGAGTTTCCCCTTCTCTTTGCCTTGCAGCACGTTCTATGAAGACTGGTCTTTTGTGATGGATGAAGAAAGGTCCAGCATGCTCCCTACCATGGCAGCTGGTAAGCCTGGTTGAGGCAAGGGTGCTGAGTCCCAAGAAGTTTGGTGAACAGAGAGGCTCTGGGGTGCATTTATTGCCCAAGCATTCTGTGATGTTCGGTGTCCCCATGATTAGAAGTGTATTGTTGGCTTCTTAAGTTGGGGCCCTTTATCTAGAATTTGATCCCCATGCAGATGAGGCATGAGATTGAAGGTCTGGCTTGTGACCTGCCAGGTGAGCCGTGAAGGGACTGGATGGGGCTTTGACTCCTGGTTCTGCTGCATGTCAGTTGAATCCTATCACTCTGTTCCTCTTCTTTCCTCCTCTGTGAGGTGAGAATGCTCTTCGATTTTCTTTTTAGGGCTTCAAGAGAGCCATAGAACAGAAAAGGCCATGTATGTGGCTTATCAGCATGGAGCAAGGCCCTGGATCGATGTGTTGTGGCTTGAGAAATCCTTTGCTGCTCGACTGTCCCTTCAAGGGTGATCAGTGTGATAGCTTGTCTTTCTTCCAAAGTCTTTGTTTTTACATACTTTTTCTTCTAAAACCTGACATTAAGTCTACATATCGAGGGTCGTGTTAGTTTCATCTAGGGATGAGAAAGTCAGGCATTGGCCATGCTTTTCTTTATAGGCCATAGGATGCTGGTGTCACTCTTGGATAAAGCAATTGTAATGGCGTTCTTGGAACGCACTGAGCTCTTGAAGTTTCAGTAGGTGAAATCTTTAGTGCTCACAATCCCAAGAGGGTTACTGTTGTTGCCATTGTGCAGGCAAAGAAACTAGAGCTCAGGGAGGTGGCAGGTTGCTTGACCAGGGTTTCTGTTCTGTGGCTCAGGCCAGGCAGCCTCTCTCCAGAACTTCTTCCACAGTCTTCTCCTGGGTGGTTCTTGTTTCTATTTGTCTTTTGACACCCAGGAATGGAATGTGGAATGACCGTTCATATGAACTTCTATCTGCCAATGCCAGTTTCAGATGGTTTTATAGATGCTGAAGATGAGATTTGTCCTCTTATGTCCCTTTAGACGGTCTCCTTGCTGATGTTGGAGGTGTGACTGCATGATAGCAAGCTCTGTAACCTCCTCCCCCTCCTTTTTGGCAGGTCTGAACTCCATACTCTTTGCAATTAACATTGACAACAAGGATTTGAATGGGCAGAGCAAATTTGCTCCCACTGTCTCTGACCTCTTAAAGGAGTCAACACAGAATATGACGTCTTTGTTGAAGGAGTCCACGCAGGGCATGAGTAGCCTTCTCAGGGAGATCACAGCATCCTCTGCTGTCTCTATTCTCATCAAGCCGGAGCAGGAGACTGACCCTCTGCCTGTCATCTCCAAGAACGTCAATGTTGGTGAGCCAGAAGGGGCCCGCGAGGTGGCGTAGGAGGGCCAGTGAGAAGGAAATGAGAGTAGGGCTGAGAGGAACCCACCTGATGGTTGTTACTCTCCTCCGGGGAGCACAGTCTCCTGGTGTTTGCTTTTGTCTTCGTTCCCTGTGAGAGAGACCCAACAGGAAGGGTAGGAAGCCAGGTGGGTCTTCTTCCAGCACTTACTTCTCCTCCTCCTCCTCCTCCTGTTTTGTGCTCAGCCGTGAGTTGAGACTCTGCTAGCACCTGATTAATCTTCTTGGGGATGGGCAGGGGTGATATTTAAAAACAAATGACACAAACAACTTATTGTTTTTGTATATGGAATGAGAGCATGGGCTGCTTCAGAGAGAACGCTTTTGGGCTTGCCTGTATGGGAGGATGCGATTTAAGTAGTGCCTGAGGTAAGAGGGTAGCTCTGAGCTTTGACTATGGGCAGGCAAGGGGAACTGGTTCAGTTAAGATAGGTTTGCCAGAAGCTGATGATACCCGTAGAGCATTTGGAGTTGTTGGTAGTTGCTATATAGCAGAAACCAAAACCTGGGGGGTTAAATCCTGATCCGCGTCTTTCCCAAATCCCTTAAGGCAGTAATCATGGCCATCACTTTAAAATTAAAAAAAAAAATATTTTTCTAGTGAAAATTATACACACTAGGCAAGTGCTCTGCCAGCTATGTCCCCAGCTTTTCTTACTTTTTGTTTTTGAGACAAGGTCTTATTGTATATGTTGTTAAGGGTGGCTGTGAACTGACTCTGCAGCCCATGTTGGTCTTGAACTTGGATCTTCCTGTCTTAGCCCCTGAACCACTGGGCCCCACTTTTAGAATTCTGTTTTGTCTGCCTGTCTATTTCTGTTTGTCTGTTTGTCTTTGTGTATGTGTGTTTGTTTATGCATTTCGTTTGCACATGTATGTAAGTGCAAAGGTCAGAGGTCATTGTGGGTTGTCTTCCTCTAAGGCTGTACCCCTTGATTTTGTTTTGAGTCAGAATCTCTGAGCTGAACCCAGAGCTTACCAGTTGTCTAGACTGGCTGGCCACTAAGCTCCAGGGATCAGCCTGTCTCTGCCCTCCCAGGGCTGGAGCTGTTGCTGGTGTACACCACTGTGTACTGGGGTCCAAACTCAAGTCCTTCTGCTTGTGCAGTGGGAACTTTACCTACTGAGCCAGCTCCCTAGCCCTCCCTTCAGAACTTTTCTTCTTAGCCTTTCTTAAAAAGAGTGTTTCATTTATTCTGTGACAATTTCATACTTGTATGCACTGTGTTGTGATCATGTCTGCCTCCCACCCTCCCCTAACCTTTTTTCTTCCCACCTTCATTTCCTCTTTGTATATAAAATCTCTCTGCAGCACAGCCCCCTGAAGAAAATGCACACTCCCTTCCCTAGCAGCCATCGACTGTTAGTAGCTCCTCAGATAGGGTAAGGCCTCTTGACCCCCTCCTCCACCACGCTGGCGTGTTGACTGGCTTGGTCCTATGCAGTAATCACTGCTCTTGTGAGCTCATTACTAAAACAGCCGAATCATGTCCAGCAGACGTCATCTTATAGCACTCCTCCCTGCCTTCTGGAGCTTACATTAGTTCTGCCTCCTTTTTCTTTTCTTTTTTTTTTAAATTATTTATTTACTTATTTATTAAGCATACAATGCTGGCAAAGAAGGCACCAGGTCTCATTACAGATGGTTGTGAGCCACCATGTGGTTGCTGGGAATTGAATTCGGGGCCTCCGGAAGAGCAGTCAGTGCTCTTACCCTCTGAGCCATCTCTCCAGCCCCTGCCTCCTTTTTCATGATGTACGCTAAGCCTTGTGGGGCGGGGTGGGTTTGATCAAGATGTCTCATAGGGATGAGCGCTCACACTGACCTATTCTCAGTACTTTGACCAGTTATGAGTCTCTGCATTGAATGCTGCCCAGTACAAAAAGAAACTGCTCTGACCAAAGTTGAGAGAATCACTAACCTCTGGGTATAAACAGAAGTATTTAGAGGAATATTTGATATGAACGTTAGCAAAACAACAGTAATAGGTTCTGCCTGTAGTACCTCTGTCCTCCCCAGTGTTTGCTGTTCTTCCGGAGGACCCGAGTGTGGTCTCTAGCATCCACGTCTCACAGCTGCCTATAATTCCAGCAGCAAAGGATCTGCGCATATTTTACAGACACACACACACACACACACACACACACACCAGGCAGACACACACCTATGTTTAAAAACAGTTTTTAAAAATCCTACAAAATGCCCAGCGGTAGATGACAGCTGTAAACAAACTCAGTGGTATTTTGGGGAGTTTTTGATCTCATAATGCTTTGTCTGGGCTTTTTTTTTTTTATCTTACAGGTCTTTTGCTGCTTATTTATTAAGGTTTCTGATTTTGTATCTTTATGTGCAAATGTGTGTGTCTGCGTTTGTGTGCGTTTCTTGTGCTTTTTCTGTTTGTTTCTTTGTTTTGTCTTATTCTGGTTTGTCTTAATTTTATTGTTAGATGCCTGTTTGTCTTCTGATAAGAGAGAAAGAAAGACAGGGTGTGGATCTGAGTGAGTGGGGAGGTGGGGAGGATCTGGGAGGGAGCTAGGGAAACTACATTCAGAGTATATTGTATGAAAAAAAATCTATTTCAAAAAACCTCATAACCCGAAAGCCCCAACACAGTTTATTCTTGGTGTGATAATAGACTTTGCTGCCCCCATGGGAGCATAGCTTGGCCTTCCTTCTGTCTACTATCACAGCTTTTCCTTTGCCAGATGCCAGATCTAAGAGGGAGAGGAGGAGGAGGAAGAAGGTGACCAACATTGTCTCTTTTGATGATGATGATGAGGAGCAGAGCATTGGGAACACTTTAAAAAAGATGCCTGGAACTACAGAAAGCTCGGAGGAGAACTCCGACCGCTCCTCCATCAATGTCACATCAACCTTTGAAAGCCCCTTTGGGCCAAACTCCAATGGGAGCCAGAGCAGCAGTTCCTGGAAAATGGATGCTGCGTCTTTGAATGGGGAGCTGGGCTTCCAGAAGCTTGATGTGAAGAGCATCGATGATGATGTGGATGAAAACGAGGAGGATGTGTGCAGGAACCCAGCAGGAAGGAGGAATACAGGCCACTCTGAGTCGCCAGACAAGTAAGTCCCACCGGAGCTCATGGTGAGGGAGTTATGCCAGCCATTTCCTAGGAAGTGAGTGAAATGAGTGAGTTTTGGGCTGGAGCGATGGCTCAGTGGGTAAATCTTGCCATGCAAGCCTGACGACCTGAGTGCCAATCCCCAGCATCCCAGATGGATGCGGCAGAGCAGGCACCCGTTATTCCTGTGCTCCCAATGGGAGGTGGAAGGTGGAGGCTTTACACCAGACAGCCTGGAATACATAGCAGGGAAAACAAGAGCTCCTACCTCAAACATGGTAGAAGGACAGGATGGAGATGTGAGCTTGAACTCTGACCTCCAGATATGCACCAAGGCATGTGTGCATACACAGGAACATATGAATGTGACATATGAACATGCACACACACACCATATGCATAATAGTGTGCACTTTTAAAAATTTCTTTGGGGGTATTATTCATTCTTTAAATCTTTATGACCTTACCCTGCTGAGAATTAGGGGAAGTCTACTTAAATGGACAAAATGCAAAATTGGCATCAAACTGTGTACTTTGAAATTGCTTTCCTCCATCTCTAACTTTGCACTAGTATAGGATGCTCAGGAAAAAGTGGAGTGTCATTGATTGGCTCTTGAGAGCCTAAGAGAAGAGATTACTACCCTGTGTGACAATAAGACTTAACCTAAGAACTGCGACAGCTGGTGTTGTGGCTCCATTGGTCACAGAGTTCTGGGTTTGTGCTCAGCACTGCATGAGCTGGGTGTGGTGGTGTATATCTCTCATCAGAGCACGCGTGGGTGGAGGCAGAAGGAACAGAAGTTCAAGACTGTCTTTAGCCACATAGAGAGTTCAAGGTCAGCACCTGGACCAAATGAGACTATTTCCAAAAGACCAAGCACACTGGGAGCAGTGCTGTGTCAGCACCCTGACCCATGTGGTGCTGTTTTAGGTTAGTGGGTATTATTTCTGGTTTCCAGGATGGAAGAACAGGATTCTGCGGAGTTGAGATTTGGCAGAGCACTTAGCCAAGCTGATGCTCAGGCTCAGGTCGCTGCTTCCCAGAGCTCAATCTGTCTGCCCTTGCTGCCTGGGTGGGATGGAGATTTAAATCCACCACATGATGTCTGAGTGACGTCACATGTGCCTACAGTCCCCTGTTTACCCTTGCTGCTACAGTTGTCACACAGCCACTTTTTCTCCTCAGCTCTAGAGGACATGGTGCTTATCATGGCTGACTTCATAGCCCTGCTGGTCAACAGTGTGTCCTGAACATGTGTGAAAGTGTCTTTTTATGGGGCTGAAACGCAATGGTGCTCTTAATAGCCCAGGATGCCCCCAATGCTATACTTCTGTTGTTCATGTTTGTGTAAAACCAGCACTTTTTATTTCTCTGGAGACTGTCTGTTTAGAAAGTTTTGGGGGCTGGAGAGAGTACTCAGCAGTTAATCACACCCCATATGGTGAGCGTCAGGGGGTCTGATGCTCTCTTCTGGCCTCTGTAGGCACCAGGAACCATGCTTGGGGTGCACATGCGCACAGGCTGGCCTGAGTCTCCTCAAGTGCTGAGATTTGATATGCGTCACCATGCTTTTCCCTTTTCTTCCTTTCTCCTGATTTGGAGAATTGGCACGTAGGAGTGTGGGATGTGATTAGTTTGAATCCATAGGTAGACATCGGCAGCAGAAGAGTTGCAGTCCAAGCCCAGGGGCAGTTTGCTAGCAGAATTCCTTTTTATTTTTTTGTGGCAAGGTTGTGTGTTTTTGTATTGCAGCCTCTGCTCTTTGGCTGAGGCCCACCTATTCCAACAGGATAATCTGTTTAACTAAAAATCCACTGATGTAAATGTTAATCTTCAAAAAATACCCTCACAGCAACTTCTAGCATAGTGTTTGACCAAGTATTTGACAGAGTTGCCCAGTCCACTTGGTGCATACGGTTAATCATTGAAACCGCCTTCAGTTCTGTGAGGGCTTGAGAATACCACTGCATTGTGGGGCTCTGCGGGTGAATGCGTGTGAGTCGATGCCCCAAACCCAGCCATTTTTCTTCCTACTTCTGGTGCCATGTAGAGCAGCTTGGAGAGGAAGCCAGCTTGTAAGCCAGGGCCATTGTGATGTGTAAAAGGCACACAGCAGTGCTGGGTGACCTTGGGAGCCTGGGCCTCCATGGACCATGGACAGCCTCTCCCTGGTATCCAGGGGCATCTTGATTGAAGAGTCTACAGAGCTAACTGGGGAGGAGCTGAGCAGTGATGAGTGGCTTATTGAGTAATACTTGGCTTTTGATTTAAGCTCGTAGTCACAGGAGAGGTCTAGAGTCTGCACACAGCAGTCCTGTGGGGGGGAGTGAGGTCAGGCCAGGAGGCTCAGCTGGGCTTGCTGCTGCTTCTGGCAGCAAAGTCTGATGCTCTCTTGTTTTTAGGATGATCTGGTGGCCCAAATTTGGGCTTACTCTGTTTACTGGTAATTTAAACAATTCTTTGGTGCCTGATCCCTCTTTATCCAGATTCCGTCACAAACATTGGCTTTGTTTTCTGTTTTCCTTCAGAATAGGCAATCACTTTATTATGGAAAGGAGTTTTTCAACCATCTTATTTGTGCTCTGACCAGTAAGGAAGTGAGTTTGGAGAGTGTTGGGGTAACTCAGAGAGTCACAAGTTACATGCTCATCTCGTGACTAGGCACCCTGCTCCTCACACACCTCCTACTTGTCTACAATAAGAACAGGGTGAGCAGTGAGCCACAGCTCATCCACCCAGGGCTTACAAGGTTCAGGCTGGTTCCATGGGTTCCCACCCCCCATCCCAGGCCCAAACAGGCACGTGCACAGTCAGGCAGGAAGACTGCACGGGGCTGCTGATAGCCAGGGCAGAAGATGGCTAATAAACTCTTTAGACCTGGGTGCAGAGTCTGCCCGAGGACATTGTCTCAACTCAGGAAGAGCTGAGCAGAAAGATTCCAAAGCCCTTGTTCAGGGAAGCAGAACACCTGGTCTGACCTGACGGTGCACCAGGAGCTAACCTCCAGGGGTGGGTGGGGAGGGCTGAGGGTGGGGGTGGGGTTGTCTTTATGGGCGCAGAGCGTAGAGTCCTAACACTATTTTGTTGTTTGAGTGGGATTTATTTATTTATTTATTTATTTTGGTTTTTTGAGACAGGGTTTTGCTGTGGCTTTGGAGCCTGTCCTGGAACTAGCTCTGTAGACCAGGCTGGTCTCGAACTCACAGAGATCCGCCTGCCTCTGCCTCCCGAGTGCTGGGATTAAAGCCGGGTGCCATTTATTTGTTGAAGATAGCCTTTTGGGCAGTTTTCATTTTTTTAAAAATATTTATTTATTATGTATGCAATATTCTGTCTGTGTGTATGCCTGCAGACCAGAAGATGGCACCAGACCCCATTATAGATGGTTGTGAGCCACCATATGGTTGCTGGGAATTGAACTCAGGACCTTTGGAAGAGCAGACAATGGTTAGGGTTAGGGTTAACCCTAGCCATCTCTCCAGCCCCCTCATTTGTTTGTTTTTGTAGCCCTGATGCTTGTCTGTTTTTAGAATGCGGATATTCTCTGTTTGCTGGAAACTTAACCCTTTCTTTGATGCCTGATTCCCTTGGCTCTGTGTTGGCCGCTGAGGATGCCCTTGCACCGGGTTGTATTTGGGATGATGTGGCCACAGTTTTGTCTTTCTCTTTAGTTTTCACATTGTTTATGTTTTAAACAAATATTTTGTTTTAATGATAAGCGATATTTTCTGTTATTTTAAAGTCAATCTTAATTTTTTTTTTACGTGTGTGTGTGTGTGTGTGTGTATGAAGCTAATTTATATAGTCAGTTCTCTCCTTTCATCATATGGATCCTGGGGATAAAGTTGGGTTACCAGGCTTGACAGCAAGCTGAGCCACCTAGCTGGCTTTTTAAAGTCATTCTTGATGCCATGTTTTGAGGCCTGTGGCTTCAGGAGTTAGCTGAGACAGTGGACCTTTGGGGCACTTTCTCTTGGGTTTGAAGTCTTAAATCTTTGTGAGTCTGGCTTTACCTTGCCTCACACAGGTCAGTGGGAAATAGTAAGAATTGTCTTTGAAACAAGTGGAAAATTCCACATGCCCAGAGAGGTAGTAGAATGGTTGGGGACAGGATTTGTTAATCCCACCAGGTGAGAATAAGACCACTACCACAAATTTTGAGTCAAGTTTAAAGCAAGCTTTATTAAATACTGGCTAGGGTGATGGGCACTGGCTAGGTTCATAATTGGGATTCCCAGAGAACGGCTATCAATTGCAAAACTCATGAGGCTCCGTGCTTCTTGCCTTCATCCAACTGGGGGCAAGCATACTTATACTTCCTGCCTATGTACCTCCTGCCTACTTGGCGCAACCAACCTTGTTTACTAAAGGAAAACCTTTGTGGTTTGTTCTCTTACATAAACAACAGCCCTCAGTATTCCAGGAAGTTACCTGTCCTTAGGCAAGTGGAGCTTACAGGTCAGAGGCATTTGTGTTTTATAAATCTCTCAGGCACCGAAGTGTAACCGTAAAGTGCATAACTTGAGCCAGTGCTGCTGCCTGCTCTAAGAATGTGCCACTCCCTCGGTCACCATTGTATAAACCGAGCACACAACCACTCCATGGTATGTGATGGGCCGGGCGGTGGTGGCGCATGCCTTTAATCCCAGCACTCGGGAGGCAGAGGCAGGCGGATCTTTGTGAGTTCGAGACCAGCCTAGTCTACAAGAGCTAGTTCCAGGACAGGCTCCAAAACCACAGAGAAACCCTGTCTCGAAAAACCAAAAAAAAAAAAAAAAAAATGTGTGAGAGAGGACAGTCAGAGGCATCTGCAAGAGTCTTGAGCAGAGAGAGAAAGTAGATTGATCATGGCCAGAGCTATCTGAGAGAGGGGAGAATAGCAAGGGATAAAGAATAGAAGAAACACAGTGAGAGAAGCAGGAGAGGGAGTCAGAATGATGAGTAGCTGAAAAGGCCGGGCATGGGGAGGCAACTAGGGTGCTAGCATGGACTTTGGAATGCTAAGAGGCACTATAGGTCTGCATTAATTGGATGGAGAACCATAGGTCCCTTTCTTGGAGGTGAGGGAAGTGGTTCCTTTTGGTAGAATGGCCTCTCAAGTTCCTGAGGAATGCTGGCTTTTGTCTAACTGCCAAATGTTCTCCTACAGTCCAGGTTGAACTGGGCCTAGACTCAATTTTGGACAAGTCAGTTGGCCTGCCCTTTTAGGGAACACCTGACAGCCACCCATTGCATCAGAGCCCCAGGAGGGTGGTTCTAATAGCCTAGAGGCACAACTCTGTTTACCTAACACTTGAGGGTCAATGGCCACAAGGTCCAGAGCAGGAACTGTCCCTCTCTTATTCCACTCTGTGCTAGCCACAGAAGGAATACAGTTCATTGGTAAGATGCTGTGAGGACTGTTCCCTGGGTTTCTTACCCAGTGATCACCCCAGCTAGGTTTGGTTAGTGCATTTTAAAGATTTATAAAGAAACAACCACTTAGAAGTGTGTGCCACAGTCTAAAATGTTTACTGAGAAGATGTCTCATCCTGTGCCCTAAAGTAAAGTGTAGAGGCAGGAGACTGGACACCATTGTGGTTTGGTTTGGAAGGCCTCAGCCTTTGTGCTGTTGAGAATGACCAGTGACCTTGGACAGGAGATGCTGTTGTGAGACAGGGTCTCACAGTCTAGCTCAAGTTGGCTTTGAATTCATTCCACCCTCTTGCCTATGCCTCATGAGCTTGGGATTACAGGTGTTAGCCACCATGCTTGTGATCAGGGTCTCTCTCTGTGCCACTGCAGACGAAATCTGGAGCTTAGTACATGCAAGCACTGCACCATGGAACAATGTGACTGTGAAACAGGGACTTTGTCATGTGGCCCTGGCTGGGCAGCCTCTCACCAGGCCTGCTAAGTTACATGATTTGGGGCTTGGGAAACAGATGGCTTATTGATTAAGAGCACTGGCTGCTCCTCCAGAGGACCAGCTTCACAGCTATGAGAACTCAGTAAAGCCACCATGGACTACCCCATGGGTAGAAAGAAAAGTTGGGGAAATTCAGGATTGCTATGGTTATCGCTTGGGGCTTAGAGAATAGCAAAAGTCTGGGAAAGCTTCACCAGTCTCTGAAGAGACTGGGAGGGAGCCTGGGCCAGGGTACGCTTTAATAGGAAACTAGATGCCCCATTGCCTGTAGGGACAGAGAAGGGAAATAGTGACTTCCTGACAAACAGAAACTGACTTCCCAAGGTTCCAAGGAATACTGTTTAGGGTGCTTTTGCTTAACTCAGAGTCCGGCCTGAGCTGAACCAGGCTGTCACTTTAGGGACCCACTTTGGACATAACAGCAGCCATCTGTGACTCTGGTTCTGGAGGATCTGGTGTCTACTAGCCTCTGTGGGTACTGCATGCATGTGGTACATAGAGATACACACAGGGAAAAAAACCCATACACATAAATCTTTAAAAATTAAAAATTTTAATTATATAATGAGACTTTTCTTTTTTTCCTCCCTTTCCTTACTTGATGTAGTAGGTGTGATTTTGATCTGTTGAGTCTCTTTTTGTTCTAATGTAGTGCATAGTAATGATTGTGTGAAGAAGATCAAGGTAATCTCAGCTATATGTACAGAGTTCTAAACCAGCTAGCCCTGTCTCTCAAACAAGTTAAAAACCAAAAACTCTTGGACAAAAATACACACCCTTCATTCTCAACCAAATCAAGCCAAAGCAAGAATCCAAGCTGGTGGTGTGTTAGCTACACAAACACAGCACAGCGGCCTTGACCTCCCAAGTGTTGGGTTATAGGTGTGTCCCTCTACAATTCTCCCTTTTCTAAAAGGGTCTTCCTCCTCAGCTTTCCTGCCTGCTCCACACTTCAGAACTGAGCCTCCATCTTCTTGTAGGATGTTGTGATTGATGTCTGGGTCCTCTTCCAGACTATAAGCCCTGTGAGAGCATCACAGCCGTTTGCTGGCTCTTTACCCCTTGCTGAGCACAGGAAGCTCTGGTAAAAGAGCACATGAGGGGTCTGACTGGGCTCTGTGGTGCTGACTCCCAGCCCGTGGCTTATTCTGTTTTAGCCCCATCTAGACCTTGGAACTTGAAGAGTTGTGATAAGTCTAAGACCCTATCATGCAGCTACATTTTTTCTCTTTAGACCACTGGATGGGAATGCCTGCCTCCCCCAGGTGCATGGCTGGGCCCCACTGCAGGTGCTCCATGGAGATGCTGATGCCGACACTGACGTCCTCTTCCCTGTCAGTGGAGTGGGCTCCTATGTTGCAACAGGTGAGTGCTTCCTGTCCTCTCTTCTCCAGTAAGAGATTTTGCTCCAAGGACCAGATGGGGATTTTCAGTTATCTGTACAGGTAGGAATGGAATCTAGGAGATCTGGGGCTCAGGGCAAGCACAGCTTGTGGATACTCAGAAGTAAGTAGTAGCTTAAGGGGTCTCCTATAGAACTGGGTGTTTACAGATACTCCGGCTGAGAGCTCCAGGGTGAAGTGGTTGGCAAGACCCTAAGGGGACTCACATGCTTGCCCCAAGAGTTTGTTGCTCAACTTGGCCATATTAAAGTTAACAACAAATAGTGACCATTATTTTGCACTTGGGAGATGCGAGATGGCACCTGGATCCTGTAAAGGCTCCTATGCATTTTTCTCCTTTCTCTGCTGTGTCTACATTGGCACTGCCTATTGGTGATGGTTTAGAGATGGTCAGCTTATCTGAGGGCACTTCTCAGCTCACTGAAGCATGTGGCCTTCTAACCCTGCATTCCCATTGGGTCTGACATCCTTTAGATTCTTTATCCTCACTTTTAGCTTTTGGAGTCACTTGTTAAGTTGAGGAGTGTATTGACTCGTTTTCTATTGCTGTGATAAAACACCATGAAAAGGAGCTTATGGAAGAAAGAGTTTGTTTTGACTTTTGGTTCGGAGGGGTAAGAGCCCATCATGGTGGGAGGCATGGCAGCAGGCATGATGACCACCAGAGAAGGAAGTGGAGAGCTCATGTCATCATCCTGAGCAAAGAGTGGAGAGAACGATCTGGTAATGGGTAAGGCTTTACATTCTCAAAGCCTGCCCAGTGCTGTACTTCCTTCAGCAAGGCTACACTCCCCATAGCCTCTCCAAACAGCACCACCACCGAGGATCACGTATTAAATATTTGCACCTCTGTGTGCTAGGTCTCATTCAGACAAGTACAAGGACTGACTGCCACATACTACTGTGGTCTGATATGGTAGACTTTGGAGTCCTCTGGGAAGGCAGCTTTATTCTTGGCAGTCAAGATGCTGTGGTAGTTGACAGGTGGCTGCATCGGGTCACATGGCATGTGGGGTGCAGGGTGTTCTTTGTTCCGCATTTAGCTTTTCTGCTGAGTGTATGGTTTTAGGCCATGGGATCGGAAGGGAAATCCCACCTGAGGTTTTATGTTCAGGGAGGAGACAGAGGGCGTCTTTATTTGTGGCAGCACTGAGGATTGAGCCAAGGCCTTGAGCATGCTATACATGTGCCCTACCACTAAACTATATCCTTATTATTTTTTATTTTTATTTTACTTTATTTTTTTTTCTAGATAGTGTTTCTCTGTGTAGCCTTGGTTGTCCTGGAACTTGCTGTGTAGACCAGGCTGGCCTTGAACTCACAGAGATCTGCCTGCCACTGCCTCCCGAGTGTTGGGACTAAACGCGTATACCACCACTGGCTGGTATTTTTTTTTTTGTAGCTTTTAATTAAATTTTTTTCCTAAGATAGAGTTTCACTGTGTAGATTTAGCTGGCCCAGAGCTTACCATGTAGATGGGCTAGCTTCAAACTCTCAGAGATGTCCCTGTCTCTGCCTCCTGAATGCTGGGATTAAAGCATCAGTAGCCTTTAAAATTCTTTTCAATTTTGTGTGTGTATGTGTGTGCCTACATGAGTGCATATATGTTATGTGTCCATGGTGGCCAGAAGAGGGCATTGGATCCCCTGGCTCTGGAGTTACAGGTGACTTTACCTACTCAGTGATCTTGACAACCCAGTAGTTTTTTATTTTGGACAGTGTTTCGCTCTGGCCACTCATGTTGGCTTTTAACAGCTATCTTCCTGCACAAGCCTCCCAAGTAGCTAGGGTTCTGACTTGTACTAACGGCCGTGGCCCAGGCTGTCTTTTCATCCATAACCTGTGTAAAGGAGAAATGTATAGAATGTGAATGCTTTCTGAATGCTGCCACATCCCATGTGTCTGACTGTCACTTCTTGCCAGGGCTGTGTGGTGCGATGTGTTTTTTTTTTTTTTTTTTTTTTTTGCTTTTTTGGGAGGCTTGCCACCCAGCTCCCAAATAAATAAATAAATATTAAATAAATCACACATTATTATTATTATTATTATTATTAATTCTTGCTTATAAATACCCGGCCTTAACTTGTTTTGTTTCTAGCCAGTTTTTCTTAAATTATTCCATCTACCTTTTGCCTCTGTGCTTTTCCCTTTCTCTATTTCTGTATGCCTTTCTTTATTTCTTTCTCTGTGTCTTACTGTGTGGCTGGGTGGCTGGCCCTGGCGTCCTCCTTCCCAATAAGTCTGCACCTTTTCCTTTTGTCCCTGTTTGTGCCTGTTCTTTTACTATCAGAGCAGCTATGGAGAACACAGTCAGACTGTGCTCCAAACCTCTGCCAGCACTTGGGGTACAGTTTGCTGTCATTGCTGTAACCGTTAAGTGCCCACCACTGGTAACCTACTTCCTCCCACTTGCTGCTCCCCTATCCCTGTTGGCCTGCTCTGCTTCTCACTTGCTCCTCCCACTTTCTGCACCCTGCATGTGTCCCTCAGGTTGTAGCTCAGATGGTCTTGTTATGTAGCCTTCCCTGGCTGGTCTGGAACTTATTATATGGGACCAGGCTGGCTTTAACTTGTGGCAGTCCTCCTACCTCTGCCTCCTGAGTTCTGGACTAGAACACGTAACTTTCTTGATAAATAGCATTTTTTAAATAAAATTTTCAACACATATCTTTTTTGCACTACCCCTTTCTTAGAAAGGTCAGGCTTCATGTCCCACACTGTGTCCCCTTGTAGAGCTGACCTCACTTCTCTGACCTCAGTGACTAGAACAGTTCCTATTCTGTGAGGTTCATAAGTACAAGACCATGTCAGTCTTCCATCATGGCCCTGACCTTGACATTGGCCACTACTGAGCCCTTGGTTGGGGTACTGAGAGAACCCTTACTGAATGGATGAGCAGATGGCACAGATGGTGGAGAGATGCTGCAGGGCAAAAATACATAGTGTTGTGAGATTGATACCCATACAGAGGACACAGGACAGACAGAGGTGCCTAGGCAGGAGAGCCAGGAAATGAGAGGACAAATGTACTTCAGCTCACTTTGTGAGCTTGCATGCCGAAGTTAGGAAGACTCAACTCAGTGCCAGGCTTCACTTGCTAACTCTGTGAACCTTTTAAGTCAGTGAAGTTCTTGAGTCTGTTTCATCTGTGAAGTTGGTGTAGCCTAGTGGTAGAGCATTGCCCAGCGTTCATGTTCTAGTCCTACCACCGCACACATGATAAAGATGGAAGTAGCTGTTGTTTCAGAGAAGGCCCAGAGGATGACACCGCTCATGCTTGTGTGCCTGTGCATCTGGCCCACCACAGTGCAAACTCATATAGATATATGTGCCAGCCACACAGAGGGGCTGGTGTGTGGTCAGTTATGCCAAGTCAGTGCTGCATCTGGAATGTGGGCTGGGTGTCAGTGGCCTTTTTTCCAGCCATGCATTTCCATTCATTTTGTGTGGTGTTGGAGCCTTGGCTTTGCTTTGTGTATGGACTGACAATCATGGCTGAATTTCAGCAGCGTGGATGACTGAACTGAGGTCTCCCACTGAAGGGTCCTTAGAAAACGCCAAGCCTTCTAACCAGAATTGTGCTGTGGTACGATTAATAAAAACCCAGAGACAGACATTGGTGTCTGTCAGAAAAACAAAACAGCCAGCCACAGGCTCTGACCTCTACTTCAGTCTGAAATGGTGATCCTGCCTCCTGAATCCTCAGAATGAGACTGTGTGAGAGCTGCCTCCTCCTGTCTTATATTCCTCTCTAGTGCTGGGATTAAAGGCGCACACCACTACTGTCCAGTTTCTATGGCAAACTAGTATGGTTGGGATTAAAAGTGTGTGTCACCACTGTCTGTAAGGCTGACCAGTGGGTGGGGCTGTTTTATTCTCCGAACTTTAGGCAAGCTTTATCTATTAAAATACAAATGAAATATTACAATGTGCCATTGCACATGAGCCAACTGAGGGATAATTCAGGTCATACTGGAGATTTTGGATATTATGTTTGTCAGCTTCCTGTTACTGTTACTGTAACAGAATACTTGGGACAATCAACTTATAGGGAGGAAAGGAATATTTTGGCTCACAAGTTCAGTGATTTCATTCCATGTTCAGTTTGCTCCATTGTTTTGGGCTTGCAGTGAGGCATCATGGTTAGGAATGAAAGGTGGAGGCAGCTGCTCACCTCATGCTGACCAGGAAAAGCAGAGATCTGGAAAGGGCCTGGGCATCTGATTTCCCAGCGAACCAGGTCCTTCTCTTAAAGTCCCATTGCCTCTCAGTATCATGAACTGGCGATTAATCTGCAGGCCTTTGCAGGACATGTAATGGCAGCGGATTCACCTGGCCCTGTGGTAGCCCACAGGGCTGGTGTCCCTAAGCTGTCAGCACAGTCAAAAGTTCAGGTGGCTGCTGGGCCTGAGGAGGTGTCAGCAGACATTTCTGATAGCCAGAAGTGTGGAACCAGGATTTAGGGCTGAGATCTCAGCCATAGGAGAGAGTTTGAGAGTTGTCCTCTTGAGAGGTAAGAGTATAAACTATAGAGTGTAGACTGCAGGATTCCAAAAGGGGCAGGGGTCAAAGAAGTCCTGGTAGCTCACATTTGTGATCCAGCACTCAGGTGGTCACTAGAACTGTTACAGGTTTGAGGCCAGCCTGAGCTACATAGTGAGTGCCAGGCCAGCTCAGGCCACAGTGAAATCCTGTCTCAAAACAACAACAATGTAAAATTTAATTATGTTACATAATTGTGAACGTGCACATGCTTGTAATTCCAACAGTCTGAGGCTGAGGCAGGAAAGCTTGAGTTAGAGGCCATAAGGAGACATAAGACTTGCTGAGCTGAAGGTGAGGAGCAGGGACTCTGCAGTAACCACGCTTTAACCACACCACTAGGGAGCAAGGAGGAGTCCTGGGATGGAAACCAGGCTTGCCGTGCTCTTGGGCTGCTGGAAACAGTTGGGGGTGAGTGGAATGTGCAGTCCCTTAAGCCTGGCAGAGGCCCAGAGGCCTGACTCTGAAGTCAGAATGAACAAGAGTTCCCTTGAGTGACGCTGTGCAGCCCCGGGCTTGCAGATCTGCTTCGTTTGCCTGGAAGGAGGCCCGAGCAACAGCTAATACGTCTGCGACCATTAACGTCCTTTTCCTGTTTGCTTTAGAGATTTGTGGACTCACTTTTTGGAAATGCCTTTCCCAAATACTTAGTGGCTTTTGTGGAAAGCTGCAGACTTTACCAGTGGTGAGACCCTGCTGCCCTCTAGTGTCCACTACAAGCAGGAGCAATTTGTTTAACAAAAAACCAGATTCTGTCTTGGGCTCCAGATGTGGATTTTGAGAAAAAAAGTCATATATATGTAGCTACTGGTGCCAAGCCTTAACGGTGCCCGAGCAAATGAAATGGGTAGTAGAAAACTCCAGTGTGTACGTGGAGAGAGTTGAAAATCAGTTGATGGAGCAGCTGAGCACATGGTCAGGAGAAAATGGAGTTAATGTCAAGCCTCACCTTCTTGGCGTGGTTTCTCACAGATGCCCCTGTGGGAAGCCTGGAGAATGGGGCAGGACCAGAGGACCATCTACTCCCAGAGCCCGGCCTTCGGTACAGGTCAGTGTCAGGACCGTGACGTGCTGTTTATATTTGCATTTATTCTCATTTAAAGAGAGGTGGGGTTTTTGATCCTACTGCACGTACTGGCTTTGTGGGAGCCTAGGCAGTTTGGATGCTCACCTTACTAGACCTGGATGGAGGTGGGTGGTCCTTGGACTTCCCACAGGGCAGGGAACCCCGATTGCTCTTTGGGCTGATGAGGGAGGGGGACTTGATTGGGGGAGGGGGAGGGAAATGGGAGGCGGTGGCGGGGAAGAGACAGAAATCTTTAATAAATAGATAAATTAAAAAAAAAAGAGAGAGGTGGGGCCTGTTGGGATGGAAGGCCAAGGCCTGACCTCGTTTGTGCAGTTGTCAGGGTCATAGATGGCCATTTCACACAGATAAACTGTTCTGTGACCTAGTGTCATAGGCAGGAGGCACTCAGTGGTGGAGTGCTTGCACAATGTGCAAAGAGCCCAGGATTCCACCCCCAGGAGAGGCGGCGGCCACCCCGCCTCATCTGCACTCTGCCTCCTCTCAGCCTCTGCTGCCACACTGTATCCTTTCTCAGCCCTCTTAGTTAAAGCTCATTAGTAGTTGGTAATGGTGTCCATCAGCCCTGGTATTACAGGATATTTAGGTTATATTTAGGGAAAGGTGTCATAGCTGTCAAGTATTCAGGCTACTGCCTTGCAGCTTGTAAGTGTAGAAAGCTTATCCCTTCCATGTTAAGAACAGCAGCAGCAACAACAACAAAAAACAAATCAAAACAAAAATACCAGCCAGCCAACCAACTAAAAGCCCAGACAGAAAGCTAAGGGGCCCAGTGTCACTGTTGTTTACAGAGGGGACATAGCCACCGAGGTCTCCTAACATCACCATCATCTGTTACTCTTATTACCCCCTTCATGATTTTAATTAGGTGTATTGAAGTTATCCATCTGTATGCTCAACTTAGCCTCAAGGTCAGGGGTCCTGACTGTCCCATACTTGGCTTGTTGTCTTGTTACTCAGAACAGACAGGATTCTAAAAATGACATGCTGGGGTTTCCGGTAAACTCCAGGCTCACCTGCAGTAAGGAGGAGTGGCTGACTCGGGGCAGCTGCTTTCTGTCTTTCCAGTAGATTCCCAGGGACGTTCACCTGTGAGTGTTGCAAGCACTGAACTTGTGTATTTGGCCGAGTATAACATCCTTCTGTTTGCTTTCTCTCAGTGTGGAAGCCAATTCTCCAGGCCGAGGAAGCCCTCTGAATAGCTTGTTACCATCTGCCTCAATGCCCGAGTCCATGACAGTTCGTAAGTACTTTGTGAGTCTGGCGTGTATGCCAGCAGTGTCTCTGTGCTTATGCCTATACCCCTGTGGGCTTGGCTAGCGGGTGTGAAGGTGGTGAGTGTGTGCCTGCTGTGTACTGTCGGATCCTGTGGCCAGCTTGAGGTGCATGGGGGTGTGTCTGCTAATGGATGGAAGGTACCTCCTCTGCCTTGTGGTTTCCAAACTGTCTCCTGTATGTAGCCAGCTGCAACTCTTCTAGCTGAGTTTCCCTGTGACTCTGATGAACTAGTCGAATGACCAGATGGTGCAAACCATGTCCAGCTCTACCTTCCTGAAGAAGCCTTAGAGACTCAGTGAAGAAGGGTGGGCATGAATGGTTTTATATTGCACACACACAAGTCAACAATTGTTCAACAAGGCAGACTCTCTATGACTAGGTCAGCAGGTTGAGGGTGGGGCTGGGGCCCCTGGCTAGGTTGGCAGAGGGGGTTAGTGTGGGGCTCTGTGGTCCTCAGAGGCCAAGGTTGTTTCTTGTCCTATAGACAACCTAGTTGTTTTCTTTGTTTAACCAGCTCTACCTGTCTTATTCCTACCAATGGGGCAAGACAGTCACCCAGAGAAGTTACAGGCCCTTGTAACTGCATCTCAGGGTGCCATTTTTGCTTGGGAATAGTTACCCGAGGGGACATAGAAGCATAAATATGCTGTGTCACCTGGATCTTCACCTCTGGGCCATTCTGTTTGCATGTGAGCACTTTTGTCATTGGGGTGCTTCATGTGTTTTCTAACACTTGCTATTCCTGGAATGAGGCCCAGCATCCCAACTGCAGGTTGTGCCCTTGGTCCCTGTGAGCCAAAGGCTCTGCCCTGCTGTGAGTCCTGTCCTGAGGTTTCCCACAGTCTCGGATCCTATGCCATGGTTCCCCTGGCATCACAGGAACAAATGCTAATGAGAGCTCGGCACCTGTGCAGGGTGAGCAGTTGCGGTGAGGACCACCTGTCTCGTCATGGTGGGCAGGTATGGTTTTCCATGGCCCTTCTCAGTCTCCCCTACTCTCAGTGGTGTGGGGAATGGAGCCAATGAATATGTCATTGGGTTTCTCTGTCAGCAGTTTTTGGGGCCTGAGCCTCCCCATGCCATTTCTGTCCCTGATGGAGTCACCAGCTTGGTGTGTGCCTTTTCCATGAGGACACTGATCTGTGCCATGGCAGGGACTCAGCCTGTCTTGTTTTCATTCCCACTGGTTTTTATATATTAATCCTAGTTGTTGCTCATTGTCTTTGGCTTGAGGCAATCACTGGGAATTCCCAGCTAGACCTTCTGAAGGAAGACATTAGTAGACCCACAACTGGCCCTGGGTATCTGGTGGAGACAGCTGTGGGCGGTGGTAGGGTAGGCTTTTGATTCCTGGGGTGGCTGTTTATGTAGAAGGGCTCTCTTTTCTGCTCTGCTCTAACAAGGTAAGGATCAGTGTTTTCAGAAATGTTGGGAACTGCTGTGTCCTTGACCCCAACCTGGGTGGATCTCTGCTGCTCAGGTACAGGCCACTTCAGCCAGAATAGGAAGGCAAACTCATGCAGAGACTCCCTGCTGGACCAGAGGCGACACTGGCCACCAGAACTCCTGATAGGCAGCCCACCCTCAGACCTCCTCTACTTTGTCTCTGTGTCCCCCACCCCTCACAATATCTGTAGTCCCCTTTCCCCTTTTATCACTGGGTCCTGGTCCCCAACTTGGGCAGAAACTTTCTGCTGGACTAGAGGTGATACTGACTTCCAGAACTCCAGGCCTCAAGAACCAGAAGATCAAAGAGAAAACAGAAACCAAGGAGCAAAACACCCATCTAACAAAGACATACTAGAAATCAAGACTTAGCCTTCATCACTCCAAACCCAGATGCCTAGATGCCAGTGTAAGAACACAGTCAACAAAAGCCAGGGCACTATGGCACCCTGACCCCAACTATCCTACTACAACAAGCCCTGAATATTCCAACACAGCTGAAACACAAGAAAATGACCTTAAAATCAACTTTTTGAAGATGATAGTGGTCCTTAAAGAGGAATTGAATAAATCCCTTAAAGAAATCCAGGAGAATACAAACCAAAATTCGGAGAAAAGGAAAAAATATTACTCAAAGCCAAGAAGTCAAAAAACAAACAAACAAACAAACAAACAACCAGCATTTAAGGAAACAAATAAAACTGTTCAAGACCTGAACATGGAAATAGATATAATAAGAAAACACAAATGGAAGGAATCCTGGAAATGGAAATCTAGGTAAGCAAGCAGGAGCCACAGATGCAAGTATCACCAGCAGAATGAAGAGATGGAAGAGGGATTCAGAGGCCTTGAAGACATTGATTACAGAAATAGCTACATCAGTCAAGGAAAAAATTTTTTAAAACAGAATGTTAAATCTAAAAAAAAAAATCCCTGAAACAAAACATCCAGGAAATCTGGGACACTATGAAAAGACCAAATCTAAGAATAATAGGAAAGAGGAAAGACTCAAAGGCTCATAAAATATTTCCAACAAAATCACAGAAGAAAATTTTTCTAAAGAAGTAGATGCCTATACAGGCACTAGAATCTTACAGAATACTAAATAGATTGGGCCAGAAAATAAAGTCCCCTTGTCACATACTAATTGAAACACTCAACATACAGAACAAAGAAAGAATATTAAAATGTGCAAGGGAAAAAGAATACGTAGCTTATAAATGTAGACCTCTTAGAATTAGACTCTAAAAGCCAGAAAGGCCTGGGCAGATGTCCTGCAGACCACAGGTAGAGCCTAGATTATTATGTCCAGCAAAACTTTGAATCACCATAGATAGGAAAACAAGATATCCCATGATAAAGTCAAATTTAAACAATATCTACAGCTGGGCGGTGGTGGCGCATGCCCTTAATCCCAGCACTCGGGAGGCAGAGGCAGGTGGATCTCTGTGAGTTCGAGACCAGCCTGATCTATAAGAGCTTGTTCCAGGACAGGCTTTAAAACCACAGAGAAACCGTGTCTCAAAAAACAAAACAAAACAAACAAACAAACAAACAAACAAAAACAATATCTACAAATCCAGCTCTCTAGAAGGTAGAAGGACAGCTCCGACCCAAGGAGGACTACTACAGCTGCAAAAATACAGGCAGTAAATAAAAACCCTAAGAAGGGAAACACACACACACACACACACATATACACACACACAACCACCACTACCCACCAACAAAATAACAGGTATTAACAGTCATTGGTCATTGATATCTCTTATTATCAGTGGACTCAATTCCCCAATAAAAAGACAGACTAATGAAATGGATATGAAAAGAGGAACCATCTTTCTGCTGAATATAAGAAACATACCTTAATGTTAAAGACAGACATTGCCTCAAAGTAAAGGGTTGGAAAAATATCGCCCCCCCCCCCCCAAAGGACCTAACAAGCAAGCTGTTTTAGCTATCCTAATATCTAACAAAATGGACTTCAAATCAAAATTTTCAAAAGAGACCCGAAATGAATACTCATCAATAGAAAAATCCACCAAGATAACTGTCTTTGTTAGGGTTTCTATTGCTGTGAAGGTACACCATGACCACAGCAGCCGCTTAAATAAAATATTTAATTGGGGTGGCTCGCTTACAGTTTCAGAGGTTCAGTCCATTGTCATCATGGCAGGGAGTTTGGAGCATTCAGGCAGACATGGTACTGGCTCCATTCAATCAGAAGGCAATAAGAAGCAGTCTTAGTGTCACACCAAGGAAAGTTTGAGCAAAAGAGATCTCAAAGCCCTTCCTCACATTGACATACCTCCAACAAGGTCAAACCTACTCTAGCAAAGCCCTGTCTCCTGGTAGTGCCACTCCCTTTGGGGCCACTTTCTTTCAAATCACCACAACAACATTTCAGTCCCTAACATCCATGCTACAAATGCTAGGGCACCAACATTTGTAAAAGAAACATAGCTTAAATCACATATCAACCCTCACATATTCATAGTGGGAGACTTCAATACCCCACTCTCACCAATAGACAGGTCATCCAGGCAGAAACTAAACAAAGAAGTGATGGAACTAACAGACAGTATGACTCAAATGGGTCTAATAGCTATTTATAGAACATTCACCCAGACACGAAAGCTCATACCTTCTCAGCACCTTCGGTCTCCAAAACTGACCACGTAGTTGGTTGAAAAGCAAGTTTCATTAGGTACAAGATAATTGAAATAACCCCTACATCTTATTAGACCACCACCAATTAAAGCTAGATTTTAAAAACAACAGGAACTCCAGAAAGTCTACAAACTTATGGAAAGCAGATAACTCTTTACTGAATTGCCACTGGGGTCAGGCAGAAAAAAAAGAAAATAATTAAAGATTTCATAGAATTCATTGAAAATGAACTCACAACATACCCAAACGTATGAAGCACAGTGAAAGCTGTGCTAAGAGGAACGCTCACAGCATGAAGTGAATACTAAAAAATTTTAGATCTTATACGAGCAACTTAACAGCACATCTGAAAGATCTAGAACAAAAAGAAGCAAACACACCCAAGAGGAGGAGAGGACAGGAAATAATCGAACTGAGAGCTGAAATCAATGGAATAGAAACAAAGAGGACAATACAGAGTCAATGAAGCAAAGTTGGTTCTTTGAGGAAATCAAAAGATAAACAAACCCTTATCCAAACTAACTAAAAGACAGATCAACAATATCCAAATTAACAAAATTGGAAACAAAAAGGGGATATGACAACAGACATTGAGGAAATCCAAAGAACATTAGCTCATACTTTAAAAACCTGTAATCCACAAAATTGGAAAATCTAAAAGAAATAGACCATTTTCTTGATAAGTACCCCTTATCAAAATTAAATTAGATAAACAACTTAAATAAACATATAACCCCTAAGGAAATAGAAGTAGTCATTAAAATATCCCAACCAAATAAAGTCTAGGGCCAGACAATTTTTAGCATAGAATCTACCAGACTTTAAAAGAAGAGCTAATGCCAGTACTCC